GGATCTGGAACAGGATGAAGTCACATCAGATTCACATGACGCTGTTTTTCATAAACACCTCTGAATCACAATCTTCCGCTCTGCGTTCAGGTTCCTCCTGAAGTCCTGAGTCCTGAGTTCACTTGCGCACGGAGCCTGAGTCACAGTACAACAGGTTACCTCATTTGGTTTGATACACTTCCCGTTTTATCTCCTGGCTTCAATTGTGAATACAAAGTTTTGATTGGTTCACACTGTGGCGCATGAGAGTTTTAGACCTTGATATCATTCAAGTACAAATGAAACGATAAAGCTACCTGTTTTGATACCAAAGTAGTATCATTAGAAGTCCTACACACCCAATAACTGATCCTCGTTCTGTACCAAAAACTGCAGTCACACTCCTGCACACCGGTGAAACTGTAAAAGAAACACTGTCAAGGTTTTGCTGCTGAAATGTTTTTGCAGAATAAGAACAGTTTCTCCTCCTCTGCTCGGTATGTAAGAGTAACTTTACATCTTAATGAAACTCCAAAAGGACTTCAGAAACATCTGTATTTGCGGACCTTTAACTTCTCTTTTTTCTATTCATGTGCCTTTTTAGACAAAATGCTTGGGTTGCACATTTTGCCAAAGCAGAAAACAAAATATACACAATGTAACACAATAATAATCATTTCAATATGAAATGAAATAATAACAAATATAATAGTTATTTTCTTAAGGTACAATATGTAGAATGTTATGGCAATGTTTGCATTAAAATATCTAAATTAATAAAAAATTGACTAAACCTGTTATATATATATATTTTTTTTTGTTGAGTACTTGCATTACCTCTAATATTTCCCACAGTTATCAAACCAGAGAAATCTTTCATTTTAAAGTTGTAACGGGACGTGTCTTGTGGCGGCCACCATGACAGACAAGAAAATGTTTATCGTTGCCGAGGAAACACCGTATGTAACGTCAAAGACCGCTGCATAAGGAAGCGGGCGCTGCCGCTGAAAGCTGCCGTGCCGCTGCTGTTTGTGATCAAAACGTCATGTAAGTGATACTTAGATACATCGTCTGTAAACAGATTCTCTTCCTCAGGTCGGTTTTGCCCGTTCGTTTTCATCAGGGGTGGAGGAGAACTCCCATGATTCCCCGCCAGCCTCAACATTGTCTTTTTGTTATTGTTTTGATTGAGCGCCTTTAAATACTGTTTGTTTGTTTTGTGACATAAAGAACAACAACACTGTATAGAAACATGTGACATAGAAACTTCTCCGTCTCTGTGACATGCAGATACATCGTCTTCTTCAGTCGCGCTCTCTTCTCCATGAACTACTTTGATCTGATTCTCCTTTGGGAGGGAAAGAAAGCAGGGGACTATTATCATCACATTTTTGGAGGAATATTTCCAGCTCCACTTGTCCTGTTCCACAGAGCACACATACTCTGATACTTTACAAGAGAGAGAGACAAATCAACAATGGTTAGAAGGATCTCATTGTATCAACCTTAGTCCTACATCCGTCAATTAGAGATGAACCGGTTTCAACTCGTTACTGAGCCGCAGTAATGCAGTCCAATCTCTGCCAATACATGAGGTCAATATGAGGAGACTCAAAGTTCACTGATGAGGATACTAGCCAACACAAGAGGCCAACAGATTATCACATGACCAAACATCCACATTCAGGTCATGTGATCCTCTTCACTGATGAACATCATGAGACGTGATGAAGCCAAGAAGAAACACTGAGTGGATCTTTGTTACAGTTTGTCTATAAAAAATGTCTTTTTTCCTCCAAATACACCGGCTTCTATCTGAAACGATTAGAGGGTTTTATGTTCCAAACATTTGAGGAATTCATTAATATTTTAGTCTGGAGCCTGTTTCTGCAATATGAGGGGTTTTTTTCTCAATTTGATTTAAAGTCTGTAAAAGTATTACAAAATGTGTGTTTTATACACATTAGTTCTCATTATTGTCAGTTTTCTACGACACTTAAAGAAGAAGAATGAGCCTGCACATTCGCTCAAATAACGTTTTAATTCATCACTATCACAACAACGTGGGACATTTTGAACATCTGACCACACCTGCCATCATAGTGTCCATCGGCCTATTGGTGTTGAAATGTAATGTGTGCTAACGTGTACACGGAGCAGCAGAGTAGACTGTGTGACTGCAAACCCTGAAGGTCAGAAACTGAACAAGCAGAACCCCCCCCCCCCCCCTTCAAGCTTTAAGTCTAATGTATATTATGAAAACATTCTCCTCACACTGTCTCTTTTGGTTTTTATCTTTTAAACAAGCTGTCGGCTCGTGTCACACCTCACACAGCTCAGACATAAACTCCAGAGTCCAGGTTTACAAGTTTGGAGGTTCAAGTCTGTGGAAAACTGTGACCTCAAAGACCTGCGGACCTGCACGCCATCTGTTGGCTCCGAGACAACTGGACCAATGCGAGACATGAGAAAAGACCTGCAGAGAAAACACGAGCTCCGGTGCTATCTACAGCTTTAATACTTCGTAATGTTTGCATCACGTTTACAGCTGCAAAATTAAAAAATATACACGATTGATTTGTCCAGCTATTATTTGGATGTAAAGTTATTACTTTTAAGCAAATATTTAAATAGAATTTTATTTTTTATCGAAATTAATATATTAATCATTTAGTCTAAATATATGACAGATTAACTAATTAATTATTGTACCAAATATTCAGCTAACGACATTTAAGGAGAGTTTGGAAAGATTTCATTATCAAGAATGTTACAGTATAAAACTGAATAATCAGACATATTGTACATTCAAACATTTAAATGAAGCTGTCAGAATGTGTTCTTTTTATCAGGCTAAGTGAAATAAAGCAGCTACGTGATGTGACTCTGCTTCTGATGGAGCTCCACATGTTGGCTGTGAAACTTGTAAACGTTGCAGCGTTCACACACATGTGACGAGCAGATTGAGAGTGTGCGTTTGGCAGATTTCAGGATTTCTATCGACCTGTTCAAACTTCATGTTAAAAACTGCTTTCATCATAATTGTTCAACGCCATTATAAATGGATATTACTGGTGAGACATCAAGCCAATCAGATGGTGTTGTGGGCGGGACATTATGTGAGAGAGTGGTGAAAACACACCCAGAGGGAAAGACACACCTGCATTACGCTCCATCTACTTATTCGTTTTATTAGCTGTAAAACAGATAACAGGCTAAATGCAACATATCGGCCCCTGATAATCGTCCGACCCCTAATTTAAGCCCCTCGGTGTGTCTCTGCTGTCGGTGTCATTGATCTCCTGCAGCAGCAGCAGCTCAGCCTCTGAGCCTCTAAATCTGTTCTATTCTGAGCTAATCAAAGATTTACTACATTCCTGTTACGCAACACATCCTAAAAGTGCTTCTGTCATCAAAACACCTGAGTCATGAACACAGGATCAACATCGGCAATTAAAAACAAAAGGTGAATCCTATCATTCCACGCTGAAACAGTCTGTAGTTCTTCTGGTTGCAACAACTGAATGAGTTCTTCACACTGCAATCTCAGAACCTGTCGTCTTATCATCGTCGTCTGGTCGGGACACATGCGCCCACTTCTTTGTAATTCTAGTGAAGCAGGCGGTTAAAGAGTTAAAACAACTTCCACCCAAGACTTAGTCGATGTAAATTATGTCGGACCAGAACTGAATCTTCAGACTGAATTGTTTCAGATAAAGAAGATGTGAAATGATTAAAAATCAATAACTTGATCAAATGTTATCAAACCCAAACCAAACACTGGCAGCCCGCTGCTCTCTTCTGAAACCACTGACCCACATGGAGCCTGCGTGGCTCCGTCATTTTCTATCAATAACCGGTGGGAGACAACAGCTGTCAAACTTTTCCCCTCTGTGGTGAAGAATAACTGACATTACATCCAGCAGCGCGGATACTAAAAACACAACACTTAAAAATAAAACTGAGATAAATTAATTTCATAAAATATAACAACTTCCTGCAGGATTTAAGTGCAGATATTTATGTGTATAAATATAACTAGGCCTATTCATTTTATATATTCATGTTACCAGAGAACCAGTAAAGCACTATAAGTTGTCACGATATCAGAATGGTAAACTTTGATGTAATTATAGTAAATACTAACAATATAGGAAACAAATGCCAAAAAAACAATGTTTTTGATCAACTTAAACAAAGTGCATGAGCTTGCCTGCAAATTCTTAATTTCTCTTGAAAGCACTGGTTTTATAAAATAGATTAATCTTTTTTTTTAGCTTTGGCACTTTTCCATAGGTTGCCATCAAAATAACTGAGAATGTATCGCTTAAACACTTGGTATCGAAAAAGTATCTAAAGAATCAAATCTTACTTTAAATGTTAGGCTACATTTAAAGTAATGACCTTTTTGATCATTTTTAAAAATCACTGCATGGTAGGCTTTAACTAAAAATAAAAACTTCCAACATGAATATAAAGCTCTATAATGTATATGTTAAGTGATAAAACCATCATAAATCCTCTTTAATTTATTAAAAATGTTATTTATCTCGAAGCAGGATGATTTTAATGTTAGTAAAGGTGATAAAAAAAAAAAAAGGTCATGTGGTGCGTTTATGTGTCATTGGTGTTATGAAACTTTTTAAAAAATACAGAGACCAAATTCAAACAGCACCGTGAGAAAAAAAAAAAAAAAAAGCTCAGATTCAAACACGATGAAAAACAGATGTTCACAAATGAGGAGGAAAAAAAAAGAAGAAAAGTTCACGGTGTTTTTACCGCTATTTCAAATACAGGCCCGCAACTTGTCACCAAGCTCTCTGGGTGATTCTTAAAATTACATTCAGCCTGCATAAGTTAAGTTTCATGCACACGGTTCATTATTTTCCGGAGCTCATTCCCAGCACGTTTTGTAGCCGTGCAGGAGCAGCAGCCACCGGCAGCCTGCTAATGAACTCCCTCCGCCAGAAACAACGGAACTTCTTTTGTTTCCTACCAGTTTAAGTGTCGGTGTTTCTCACCTTGCTGTGGCTGCAGCCCATCCCTCCTCCGCCGAGCTCGGTGTCGGTGTCGGTGCCGCTCAAGCTGTCCGCTACTCTTCCTCTATTTCTTCTTCTTTTTTTTTTTTTTTGTGTCTCCTTCTCCTTCCCTCTGTTGACAACTTTCAAATACTCTGTGAAAAACTCCTTGAACGCACCGCTGAGACCGCCGGGCACAGGGGGCGGGGTTTATTGTGCTACCTTCACGAACACTTTGTAGAATCCAACGCTCAAACATTATATCTGTTTTTTTGAAGTTATTTTTTAAATGAATTAAAAAAGCTGTTTGGGGCAATGTGTGTAAATAAGAACTTTGTCTTTTACTCAACCGTTTAACTTCAAGTAAATAACATGAAGTTTAAAAGTTAAGATAAAACATCTTACCTCAGAAATAGCCTACTTTAACTTCAATTAAGAGAACAATTACAACTTACTTGTGCATAAAATATACCTGTTATAACCATATAAGCCCTTAGCGGACATAAACCATTCATTATATTTTACTCAATTTTCCTATGATAATTAGTAAATGTGTTTTGTTTCTTGAGATCTCTTACTATTATTTAATTTATACCAGCAGGAGAAGGGGTTGTTTTTGTGTTTTTTACCTGCAGATAACATTTCAAGTGTTTCTACTTTTAACAGCGTCTGAATCGCCCGTCAAACCTTTAACATCACCTCATTTTTAAAGAGCAGAGTCTGACAGTATGATGTGAGGTTTAAAACAATACTTTCTCTGTTATTTCAATATATCAACAGCACTGAAAAGTACTGAGACTTTCAAAAACTACATCTATTTCTTAAGACTGCGGTGTAGGAGAGGAATAAATCCTTGAAAAATTGCGGGCAAATTCCTGCACACTAAATTGCACAAAAGCATTGGCAACAGTAATTGAAAACAATAAATGATCATAAAAACAGGTATTAATAGTTTTGATTTTTTCTGGTATCAAACCAAAGTTTAAAATATGGTCTCATGACAATTCGAAGGTGACGTCACAGCGCCATGATGTCATGATGTCACAAAATGCAGAGACAGAAAGTGAAGCAGCTGTTGGAAAGTTGGATGAAAGTTATCCTGACGCCGAAAACAACAACTGCTACGACTTCAGGCTAAAAATACACACAAATACACATACCACACATCAACTGAGCCGAGGCTGTGTGTGATACACACATCGACACGCCTGCATGTGTGTTATAAGAAGTGTTAGAATGTCGATACGTTTCTATATTTGAATCTGCACTTCAGAGGTCAGAGGAGTTTGTTCCCGTTGATGAAGGATACAAACAAAGGATTATAAATGCATGACTTTAACCTGATAGTTTTACAGTTGTCGTCATATTTTTAACTGAATAAATAACTTCCGACTCTTCTTTCATGTCTCCAGATGAGGTTGTGTCAGAGAACCATGAGTTCTTCTAAACAGGGGCGTCCCAGGATTTCATGGCCCCCATGTAAAGATGTTGCATCGGGCCCCTCCACCACAGCCTCAGATATTATTCAAACCTGTGCACATGGATCCACAAAAACATCTTAAGATGCTGCGGTATACATGCCAGGCCAGTAGTTAGCAGTTTGACTTTGTGATGACACAACACACACATTTGCACATACCCGTCTTTCTACAGAGCAGCGCGGTGTAACATGCAAAAATGGCTAACGCACAATATGTCAGTAATGCATCTCCACTGTTTGAAGTGATGGTACAGTTAATCTACACACTGCTGGAGAAGTGTTACATTTAATAGAGTAAGCAGCACATCAGACACTCAGGAGTTTGTTGCTGTTGATCACCAACGACTTGTGCATGGCTATTGACCAGAACCGTAATGCGCACATGCAGAAAATGTGCATGTGTGTCTATACTTCAGCCTATGTGTGTGTTGCATGACTACAGAGAGTAAAAACTGAAAGTAAAATCTTAAATCTTAGAATTTGCAAATTGCCAGTTTATGCAACAATGGAGACCGTGCTGTTCACTCTGGAACCAGTTTTCAAAACTTTGAGTTTTCAGACACCCAAAATGCTGTTGACATGTAAACAAACTGCCAAAACCAACAAAAGGCTACAGTCCGGTTTGAGGCGGAAACAGGGCTGATGAGGTTTTTGCATTTTTATTTATTTAAGAGTTAAGAACGACGCCAATTCATGTTTATTTAATTTGGCCATTTTTCACCTTAATATAAAAAAAATGTTGACTTCTTCTTTGTCCTTTTCCGACATGTTAATCAGGTTAACTTAGTGTTTGACCGTTTCTTTTCCATTATACTTTTCATTGTTTAAATATTACTTTGTTTTCTGCCTGTCTGCTCATTTGTTTCAATTTTTACATGTTTGAAATCAAATAAAAAATCAAACGGTTATGACTCAGAGAGAATTACATTTAATAGAAAAGCTGCTTATTTAAGGGTCCTGTCCTCTAATGGGGAGGTTAGTCCCACATCCCCCACCCCACCCCCCTCCCCCTTCTATTAACGACCATGTTTCAAAATAATTGATACCATTTAATACACTTGCCTAGTAAAGACTTTTACCAAACACGTACTATTAATGCATTGATGGGAACTGTAGTCTACATTTAAAGAAACACTAAATCAGGATCATAAATGGTTGTCTTCTCTACAGGACCTTGAATGTGTGTGTGTGTGTGTGTGTGTGTGTGTGTGTGTGTGTGTGTGTGTGTGTGTGTGTGTGTGTGTGTGTGTGTGTGGGTGTGTGTTGTGCAGATTAGTGTGTCACAGTGTCAACAAAGTATTTCTTCCTGTAATACTGAGTAATATATTTCACATGCTGATTCAGTGGTTACACACATCCTGCTGAAATCTGTGTGTGTGTGTGTGTGTGTGTGTGTGTGTGTGCACGTGCGCATGCTTCTTGTTTTCTCCGCCTCTTCTTCTTTCTGACTTCAGATGTTTTTCTACAGAACATGCAGTCAAAGAGTCGTCATAAGATCATGAAAAACACAAATCCGGGAGGGGGCTTGCACACGCCTCAATGAGAGGACTGAAGTGCGCTCACTAAGCTTGGCTGTCATTATGTCTTTGTACATTCATAATGATTCTGTGACGGCGTAGTATTCTTGTCTCCGTCTGTGAACTCACATTGCATTTAGGCTTTCCAGAAGAAGGCACAGTAGCTGCTCCACATACAGTTAGACATTCACACACAGCACTGTGCTCCCCTGCTGGCCCTAACCCTAACCCTAACCCAGCTGATCCTGTCTCGCCTCTGTAACGCCTCTGTCACTACCTCAGCAGACGGTACAGAGGAGGGATCACTGCGTCTCAACATAATACTTCTGCAACATTTACGGATTATTTTATTTGGACGAACGGTTAATCTTCACTAACACGCGCGTGATATGGACTGAATGAAAGAATGAGGAACTGAATCACTGTTTCTGGGTCTGAAAGAGGGAGGAGACCGGGAGAAGCTCTGGGTTCACTGAAGAAAACCTGCTCCTGAGCAGGTTAGGTTCAAAGACTCAGTTACCATAGTAACTGACTCAGAGGTAAAGTTACCTCTCTCTCTCTGGAACGAGCTGGAGTTACCCCTCTTTCTCCGGTTTGAGTGACCTCCCCTTCTGAAACGGAAAACCCAGAACTTTCCCTCATTTCAGGGTTAACTGACTCAGAGTTTGCACAAAACCTTGTTTCAGAAACGGGCCCCTGGTTTGGGCTAACAGCAGTCCCAGCAGGTGTAACTGTGTTGGAGCCCTCTGGCTCTGTCTGTTCTTCTGAGTTGACAGTCTAAATCCAAACATGAGAAGTAAAATCCCTTGTTTTCTTTTTGAAATTACATTAGAGTGACTGCAATCAAGAAGCAAAACAATGTTGATTTTGCACATTCACTGAGCAACACTGAACGTGTTAAAAGATCACAAATGCAACAAAGTCTTTAAATCATTTCTATCACTAACATGTAGCCAGTGAAGGTCAGCAAGAATCAGAGTTATGTGCTCACAACTGTTGGAACGCATTCAACGAGTTCTGTCTGTAAAGTGATTCTGGTGTTTGCAGAAGGCGTCTCATGATGGCGTGTGTGTGTGTGTGTCATCATTGTGAGGTTAATGGAGAAAAATGTGGAATTACAAACGTGACAGTGACAAAAAAAAAAAAAAACAGACGTTTCAGATTAAAAAGCCCCAAAGCATAAATGTAAAGAAACATCAGCTGATCTGAAGCTCCTGAACCTTCATGAGCTTTATTTTTCTCACCTTAGGCTCCACATGTTCCAGCTCCTCATGTTCCAGCTGACTTGATCCACTTAAGAGCTTACTGCTGATTGGTCGTTCCAGAATGAAAGTGATCTACCTTTTTACGCAGCCAACATGTCAGCGGGAAGAATCTTAATCCGATCGCGTTTACAAACACAGAGACTACACACGTACATAAACAGACATACACACACATTTGAATGGGGGGGAGGAAGATGGATGTTTGTCTCACCTGTTGAGCAAATACTCTAAGTACCGGCACTACATTTGTAGTATTTGTACTTAGATGAATATGTCCTCTTTTACTCTGCTACACCTGTGACCAATTTATACTTTTTATTTGATTACATCTATCTGAAAGCTTTAATTTATAAGGAAAAAAATGACATTCATTATTCCCCAGTAAGAGATTTTAACACCACCAAGTAAAGCCCCTTAAAAGTACATATGTGCGACTTTTGTCTGCTGTTTGGCCACGCCTCCACCACACTGAAAGCCTCCGCTCTCCTCCAGCGACACACCTCTAACCTCCCTCCCCTTGCGTTTGCATAAACGAGTCAAGCTCCAGCGACAGACAAGATTATTCTTGGCTAGAGCTGCAATTACCTGTGGCCTGCGTTGTTGTGTTGCCGGCCATATGCATCTCAGTGTTGATTTGTTTGTTTTCTGTTTTTCTAGTTAAGCCAAATAAAATCTTTTCTTCAGTTTGTAAAGTCTGTTGGTTCTCCTTCAGCTGAACTCTGTGACGACACTCGGCTATTATGTCCAAAGATAGAAACAGCATCCCTGAGTGGGCGGGGCTGTCTCTTATCTCTCACGTTGTGGCAGGCTAATGATTAGTGAGGGAGGGGTTCAAAAAAAAAAAACATGTATGAAACATTTTGAACATCTGAGTGAAACATCAACAAGCTGAAGGAAGCTCCGTCATGTCAGCGTGAACACAGAGCTGAGAACAAGAAACCCAGAGGGAGTTACCTCTATTAATGTACTTCTGTAGAAGTTGGCTGAGAACTTCCTTAACCTCTGTTTATGTAAGTAAGTGTGTGTGTGTGTGTGTGTGTGTGTGTGTGTGTGTGTGTGTGTGTGTGTGTGTGTGTGTGTGTGTGTGTGTGAACTGCAGGTCTTATTATAAACAGAGGTCTAGCTTCTCTATAAATAGACGTCAGTTCATTGTGAAAGATTACAATTACAGAGAGCGCACACACACACACACACACACACACACACACACACACACACACACACACACACACACACACACACACACACACACACACACCACACTCATTCTCCACGACATGTAAACGTCCTGTTATGTTTCAGTGGTTGTACTCTGAATGTGAAAGTAAACGTATATACTTAAACAGGAAATGCCTTTGAGATGCAGTACAGTGAGTAAGAAGAACAACATGGAGGTAGAATAAGAATTACAAGTTCAATAAAAATGTTTTCGAAAATATTTATGTTAAAGGAACTTCATATCTGGTTATGCTCTCATATCTATCAGGATGAAAAAACATTACATCTGTCTACTTTTTCTTCAAAACAGGACATAAATACATACAGGTCAATATGGTGCTTTAAATACCAACAGGGTTTACAGCAAGCTAAAAAAAAAAAACAGACTCAAGAGAAATTAAGAACCACATTAAAAGCTTATCACATGGCAAAAATATTAACAGTCACAAACACTTGAACACAGACTCGCACAGCCACAGTCATCAGTCAGGTATCAGCATGCAGCAACAGCCATCAAAAAATACACAAACAGATCTACACACACAAACAAATGGAGGCTTTCATCAAACAAGGTAACTAAGGAATCAAATGTAAGAGAAAGTGAGTCTTCAGGGAGCGCCGCCTAGTGTTTAGCAGAAGTATCTGTGGCTCCTTTCCCACATGTCATGCCCCCACTCTCTCTCTCTCTCTCTCCCTGGTTTCTGGCTCTAGTCACGGTCCTGTCCCTCCAATAAAGGCAAAAAACAGCCTTGAAAATAAATATTTAAAATGTGAGTTCTCATGTATTTTTTTGGCTAGTCTAGAGAACCTGCTATCGTATATGTAACGGCTGCTTGTGCCACAGTCCTGGTGCGGCTGCAGAGAAGACCCTACCTCTGAAAAGATGTGCTTGGTATGGTTTGAAGTCGTTGACCTGACGATCTGAGGGTCTCAGGGGCCTCTGGGGTTCTGTGATGTAACGTGGAGGTCATGAAGGGCTTGAAACACTGACAAGAGATTTTTGTACGAGTCTCTTTACTGAACTAGTTGTAGATGATGAATGGAGGCCTCCTGAATACCAGAATATAGGATGCTGAAGTGGTCAAGTCTGGAGGACATCGAGGCATGGATGACTTTTTCTAACTCTTTATGTGATAGGAATGTCCTGATCTTAGATTTGATCCTGGGCTGAAGGAAACTGGATTTGATGATGATACTTGGTCATTTGTTGATCAAATTTCAGGTTATTGTTAAATACTATTATATAATAAGTAAATATTAACACACTTTTTTTGTAAAAAAAAAAAATATATATTTTCCTTCCAACATATTACTGTAATTATTTTCTGTCAGGTTAAAGTCTTCATTTGTATTATTGTAATGCAATCCTTTTCCTTTAACCCTTCTTCTTATTTAACAGTTCTTTGGTATTTTATTGTTTTTTATATATTTGAAATTAAATTTTAGCATTCCAGCTGTTTTAAAAAAGTGCTATACATATAAACTTTGATTTTTTTTTTTTTTTTTACCCATTAATTGCTCATTTGTGTTTTTAAAGAGAACTGTATTAAAGTAACTGTTACCTGAGAAAAGAGTAATTCTTCCAGTCTCATTTTAAAAGATTCAACATCAGAACAAAAATTAAAAAACTATGAAATATCAAAGAATCACAAGAGTGTTTTATAGTTGTTATCATCATTTGTTTCAGGACTGTTCGTTATTCTTTAACTTCGATCTGAATCACCACATTATAAAAGGACATGCTGCCCCCTTGTGGTAAAACATGAAGCTGTAGCTTTATTTAATTGTATGTCTTAATTGAAAGGTGCACTGCATATTAAATAACAAAATGTTAAACAAAATTAAGAAGCGTTTTTCTAAATGCAACAAATTAAAAAAAATATATAAAGACAACTTGTCATATAAACACAAAAATAACAGGCAATAAGGCTGAGAATGTGTTCACTGGGCTTTATTATCTATTTGATATATTAACATTTATTTAACTGTATTAAAAAAATAAATTAGATAGGATTATAAAACGTTTTTTAATCCCCCGTGGGTAAACTCATTTGCCACCAGGTCAATTCATAGACACATCAAACATTACCGACAGTACAATCATAGTACACAAGAAGTTAGTAAATAACAAACACCACTGAAACATTTTGAGACATCGTTCAGAGCCTTGAGCCAGTCAATAAGAGATTTGGGGAAATTTAAGAACCGAAAAACAGCACATATAAGATCTCTGTCATGTAGAGTTCCTGATTAATGTTTCATAAAACAAATAAATCCTTCAGCTTTATTTTTCTGGGAGGAGTGTGTACATTATTTTAATTTCACAAATAATAAAGTCACATTTTGTGAGAAGAGGACCATCACCTTCAGACTCCTGTGCCCGGCTCCTCCTCCTCCTGTCAGACCAGACTGAGGGCGGAGCAGAGCCCATGCAGCAGGTCCAGGTTCAGGTAAACTCTGCAGAAGGTGAGAAACACGCCGAGGGACGAGAACCCGATGAGAACCCAGAGAACCTGAGCGCTCAGGTACAGAGGAGCCAACCTGCAGACGGACAAAATGAACATGTTTCGTTTCATTTTATAATGAAACTTGAATCTGTTATCATCTCGTGCTGTGAGTGATGTCATGTTGTAATTTCTTGCGTACTGCTTTTGATTCTTCTCCAGAAACTTTATGTTTGAACAAGGAAGCTCTAGCATGTTTGAAGAAAGGTTATAAAAATGCAACATCCACGTTAAATTACAAAATGCAAAAACATTTGACTAAATGCAAAATATCATAAAATGCATTTTTTTTGTTTGTGAAATATTTTTACGTTTAGTGAATTGGCTCGTTGCTGACGTGCTGCATAAATAAAACTGCCTCGCATCACACCTCACCCATGTGCAAATGTACAAGAACAACATGAAAACAACAGACAGGTGGAGCATTTTACCGTCCCTGAGCCGACTCTGAATATCCATGAAAGTATCTGAATCGTCCGTATAAGTAGATCAGACCACAGAACGAGGACAAACCTACAAAACAAACACGTGAGAAACACTTCCATGAGATGAATTAAAGTACAAACTGTGATACCGTGAGAGAGAGAGTTGTGATCACCTTGGCTGAAGAAAAGTCCAGACATCCAGAGAACGGTGATGAAGATCGGGAAATACTCGGAACAGTTTGCTCTGACCACAAACACACCGAGAGAAGTCAGAGGTTAAACCTGCAGCATTATGACACTTTAATGTTAACATCATCTTTTACCTTTGTTTCAGAAGAGTCACTGAGGAGCAACTTGTGATGGAGGCAGCACTGATTTTTAAACCTGGATATACCATTTTTACATATTTTGGGGTCTAAATGACTACCAGGCACACAAAGTTTTGTTATTACTGTATGAGATTTGTTCATCCTGCAGCAGTAAAACAGGCTGTGATGTCTGCAACATCATCCTTGATGGATCAAAGTGTGTCAAATAAAAGTTGTTGTTTTTATCATTGACAGGCTCAGATTGTTATTCTAATTGTCTGACAACATTACAGAAAGGTCGACTCCCTACAGAGATAGACTTTTAGGTTGAAGAGGAGGATTTAACAGTGGTTTACATCACTCTCTTCAAACACACCGGATTCCATTGACAAACATTTTTATTTTACCTCACAGAACAACAGGAGTTGCTAGTCTGTTTGGAAAAGTTTGGAAAATCAATGTGATGGAACTAAATTAACATCACACTGTAACACCAACAAACACACTAATCTCAGCTGAAGTAGATCAGCAACTCCAATGATCTGTTAGGTAAAACTATAGCCTTTTCCAATGGAGTCTGGTGGCTTCACAGATAAATAAAGTAATTTAAGATTTAGATTTACTTTATTGATGACGTGAGGGGAAATTATGTTTTTACACTCTGTTTATCATGCAACACACACACAGGCTGAAATACACACACATGCACAAACAGGATCCTATGGCCATGCACTAATGGAGAGACGCCAGAGTGACGGAGCCGCCCCCGGCAGGCGCTTTTCAGCTGGTGGTGGGGAGGGGGTTCGGTGCCTTGCTCAAGTGCACCTCTCCAGCTGCCAGACCAACTTCCATATTTGGTCCGCATAGGGACTTGAACCAGTGACCCTCCGGTTCCCAACCCAAGTCCCTATAGACTGAGCTACTGCTGCCCTTAGTTGTTTTTTTTAAGAATCAGGTATCAAATATAACACCTTTTATTTTTTTTATTTTTTTTAAAGTTTTTTTTTAAAGAATCAGCTATCAAATATAACACCTTTTTTTTATTTTTTAAGAATCAGGTATCAAATATAACACCTTTTTTTTTACCACACAAGATGATTAATGAGTCTCTTCAAAAATAATAATTTATCCTGACAGAGCACTGCAGTTTCTTGTCTTGTAAATCTCTGTCATGTCCTCAAAAGTGCTGCGTAGCATATTTACAGTCTGAGTAAGACCTGCGCATCATGGAATAATCCATGTAGTTCAGACGGGGGGGGGGGGGGGGGCTTTAGACATTTAGACATGCGTTATAGCCTACATCAATTGGGCATTCTTCTGATGCCAGTTTTTGCGTGTGGATTTTTAGAAAAACAAATAATTTACCATAAAGTTAATAACTTTCCTTACCATTTTTTGTGGGGCGTTTTGCCAAACTATGCCTAATCGTAAAGTCCGTCCCTGAAGCATCGATCGTAAAGTTAAATCAATTTATAAAAAATAAAAAAACGACTTAATGAATAATGTCCCTCTCCTTCCTCACAGCAGCAGAGCTGTTTCCCAGCAATGTAGCCTAATGTATTCATCAACTCGTTTTATGTCAGTGTGGCAACACTTATTGTGACAGAAGCCCATTGATGGTTTGTTTTTGAGACGCGTCAAATGACGCTAAACGCGTTCACGTGAGCGCACGCACAGCTTGAAGCAGGGGAAAGTTGTAACAGTGATAACATGAGACTCACTGAGCTCTGAAAACTCTCTCAAACTGAGGCGGGCCCACAGTGCTGGGCGGAGACACAGAATACTTCCTCCTGGCATAGATCACCTGTAGAGAGAAATAAGCTGGAAACACACACACAAATATTATCAGTAAAGTAGTTTAACTATTAGTTGTTGTTTTTTTACAGTAAAGATGTTAAGAAATGGTTGCTCAGTTATCCAGAGGTGACTACAAAACTTTTTAATTAAACCTAAAAAACGTTTAAAAACAATAAAATGAATAACCTATACAAAAACAAACTCTTTGAATAGAATTATTTCCAAATTAAAACTCTTTCTAGAGATAGAAAAAAACTGGTTTTAGCATAATTTTCCTTGATTTTTGAAAATGTATAAAAACAACCAAACCTCATTCATTTTTTTCCCCATCTAATCAAACCTCTCCACCGTTATATTTCCCAGCATGCCACGCTCACCTTGCTCCAAGACGCCAAGCACGGTCACAGCACCGAGAACAACCGCCTCCTCAGACATGTCTGCTGTAAGTGACAGCTGAGACCAGAGCACACCTGAGGACTGAAATACACACGGGTAACACACACACACACAGTTAACATGACACAGATCACAGGGAGCACACCTGAAGGGGGCGGGGCAAAAACACAGCAGTCAGTTCAGAACGTTATGTTCATGACACTTACCTTCTAATGACGTTCAACGTTTAGACTGACTGTTTTATGTTGTTTAAACAAAGATATATATATATTTTTTTGCTTCTTTTTTGAAATAATAAGTCAAGCTCGACAGTCCAGAGGTCTGTAAAACCCGAGACATATTGTGAAAAATCCACTTGTACAGTGTTTCTGAACATTTATTTGGGTAACCTGAGTGACTACCGACTCACAAAATGTGAAATAAACTCATCCAGTCCTTTGTTTGCGGTCTGCATAAGTCTGACAACACAGAAAAATGCTCCGTTTCAAATTTGCTCTCCTTGTGATGTCACAGTGGGATTCTGGTAAAATAAAAACACAACCTCCCCTCCCCTGATATCTCCAGCCATGGACTCCAGCCCAGCCTAGATAAATGTCACTGTGGAAAGACCCTCATTTGTTTATTAATCTGATACCAAAGACAAAACTATGGTTTGTGTTTTGGTATTAGATTAATAGAAGTTTAACATAATACATCTGTTGAATGTGGTCACGGATTAGATAACATTAAATGTGTCCACTTTCTACAACTTTCAACTACTGTTCGTTCTTACTGAAACACACCTGCAGACATGATTCAGGGATAAATTAACTACCGTCCTGGTTATATTTATATATAGTACGTAATTCCCCTGAAACCCAAAGGAACAGAACTACTAGAACTTGTGCTGAAGTTGAAATTGTTTTTATGTTTCTGTATAGTCGTGCAAGTATTTGAGATAACTTCGAGAAAATAAAGACTTTTTTTGGTCTTAGCTCTTTGTTTAACACTATATTTAATACAATTATTTATTAGCTATTTGAGTGCATTTCTGTAAAGGATTGAATGTAGTGAATGTAGCCAACGGTCGGATAAGTGGATGGTTTCTTGAAGTGAACAAAGAGAGAAAGACACATAGAGCCGACATGTTTCTAAAGAACTATATTTACATAATACTCTTGTTTTACAGAGAACCATATCAAAAGTATAAAATACTTACAAAAACTCTGCTGCAATATATAAAAATAACATCTATCTTCTCCACATCATTAGGAAAGGCTTACATACAAAAAATATATTTATAGACATTTACACAGAGCCCGTTCACAAGAGAGAGAAACCCCGAAAACCTGCCGAGCCAAGCCGGGCCGGGCCGGGCCGGGCCGGGCTGGAGGGACGGCAGGGGAGCGGCAACATGAAAACATGAAACCAGCCCCGAGCTTTAGCAGAAATAACTTTACAAATAAAATACACAACATGTCTGCAAATGTTTCTCTGAAGACATTATGAACAGTACAGTAGATAGAACAGTTCCACCTTTAAACACAGGACCACCTGCTCACAGATCCTCCTTAAAAAACAGGACCACCTGCTCACAGATCCAACTTAAAAAGCTGCACACAGATTGACAGAAGAGTTGCAGCTTCGACAGGATTGGATGAGAAACCTTAAGATGAAACTGGACAGACAACATAAATGATTTTAAATGAGAACTGTGGTGCTGAACTTGCCGCATGATGATCCATAGTTAAATTCTTCGTCTGCAGTCTGAGATGACAGAATAAAGTTTAAACAATTACCTTATCAGAAAATGTGAAAACATTTCGGTTTGGGGAACAAATGAGAGAGCTAAAATGCTGCGCTGAAAAGATCGATCTATTTGGAAAACACCTGAACTTGATCTTGAAAATCCCCTTCACAGTGAGGTTCGACATCCATCCAGAATCTTTTTTTTTTTTTTTTTTTAAAGACGAGTGCATAAGGTTTAATCATCTCAAATAACTAATTTTTAGTTTGATTCACGTCTGCATAGTGGAAGATTTCGGACCAAAACTTGCAATTTTCATCAAACATGCTGCATTCACGTGCTGTGGGACACATCGGAAAACCGATTTTCCCAGTTTAGAAATGCACATGAACACCCGCTCAAGTCGGGGAAAAAAACTCAGAAACTCGGAAAAGAATTATGTCCCTGACTTCCCGACTTGATGTCAGAATCGTCATCACGTGGGGGGGGGGGGCAAAATATGTTTTGTTAATGTTAACATACTTTTTTATTAATTCACATATTGCACATCAACTTTTTGCTCAAATATAACTTTTAACAGTTACATTTCACAGATCTTCTTCGCAGCATCAACGCTGTTTTTCTGCTGTTGTTACAACATTCTGACTTTCCGACCTGAAATCACGTGAACACACAGAAGTCGGAAGAACGACCACCCGAGCAGCACATGAATGCAGCAATATATCTGGATGTTTCTTTTTTGGGTTTTTTTTTGTTCATGGGACTTTTTTACCCTGAGTGAAGACTCCCAGGCAGATCAATCCTCCACCCTTTAAGCAGCTTGTGTGAGGAAGAGTCTGTAAAAATCAGGACAGAATACATTTGTTTTTCCTTTCGAGTAGAAAATAACGCCAATATTTGGATCTTAAACGCAGCGATTAGTTGGAGTGAGTGCACACAGCCTGGGGAGACTTTGTTCACGGTGAAGAAAGTTGAACCTTGTTATTAAGCTACCAGCTTGGAGTTTCACTTTTCCAATAACACTTGAACGCGGCATAAATAAATGAAGTAACAGTTTTCTGAAACTCTGTGGGTCCTTCTTTACTTCCCGTGTTATAATAAATCTACAGGAGGAGGTCAGTCTGAAAAACGTCAACAAAACTTCGAAATTTGGATGTGAAACCCCAAAACAAGGTGTCAGCTGATCAGATGAGTGTAACGCTTTATCTCCAACTAAATCATAAAACTATACTTCAATGTGTTGAAATATTAGATGTGAAACAGTTTGGAATGAGGCTGCAGACGGCCGTGCAGCAGGACATCGAGCTCTGGTTCTTTAATGCTGGGAACGTGTGAACAGAAAAGTAGGGAAGTTCAAATCCTGATAACATTTCAAAACGTCCAGGATAATGTCTTAAATGTGGGATAAGATTTTTCTGAGTAGCAGTCTGAGCAAGGATGTGATGCACTTACTTCTTAGCAGTAAGTCTAATTATTTCACAGGAAGTATGGTGTGCCTTGCTCCCAAACATCAGCCTACATGAAGTGTTTTGTAGTTTTTTTAACGTAGCCGTGTTGGATCGTTACATGGTATCGGTCAAGTCACAATAAGTGTGAATTTTTTTTTTCATTCAGGACGTCTGCATACAGAAAAGTTTCAACAGGGAAAGTGTTGCTTCATGTGTCTGCTGCACAGTTTCTTCTGAGCTCTTCAACTTCAGATTTAAAGGAACATAATTCATGTTTTTGCACATTCTACTGAGGATGACTCTATGAGACCTAAAGAAATGCTATTAAACAGTTTATCAGATGAATCCCACTGAAGGAGAATCTGAAAATATTCAGTCTGAATGAATGTGAGAGAAATCAAAGATTTGCTGCAGTTGGAGAAGGAATCAAAACATCCTGCAGATGATTGAGACTCAGTACGAACTGAGATGTGATTCAATGCTCTGACAAAAACACTTTTGAACCTCATTGGAGAGATATATAAGAAAACTGGACCTATGACATGTTAGAGATATTCACCTGATCAGTTCATGAAGTTTAGTCAGTCGACTAATAATAATCACTTCATATAACTGCAGGGAATTTCCCTAAACAAACCAGCTGCATGGTTGTAGATCTTTAAATAACAGGGCATGGTGCATATATTTGTCTACATTATGAAAATCATCTTGCTTGGCTCAGAAATCATGTCTGCTTTTAGTTTCATCACAGTAACATGGTGTGGTAAAATGATACCACTGTAAAATAAAAATTATACTAAAGTTAGCAGACATAATGAGATGTATTATTTTTGCAAGTTCACTTTCATGTTTAAAGGGAAACCTGATTTTTTTTCTTACAAACTTTGGGGTCTAATGAACTTAAAGTAGAAACAGTTTTGGAATTGCTTCTGTACATTTCTCCAGCCTGCAGCAGTGGAACAGGTTTTAGTAACTTCAATGTACTGGTGGAAAATGAGGCTCTTTTTAAAGCCACCAGTCTCCACTGATAAAAACTGTTATTTTAGCTCACAGCTCATAGAAGCTGCTGCTCTACCGCTCTCGATGGATGGGGATAATTCATTTTTTATTTATAATGATAGTTTTATCAAGACTTGACGAGTCGATCCAAGTCCTTATCGTTTTCCAACCCTTTTTAAAATTTGGTGGCTAAACATGACAACAATGTTGTTTAACAGAACTCAAACATCTCTTTTATACTGCTAGGAAAGCAAACATATTTCACCTCCAAAAAATGTCATTATTTATCAAAGTTTGTCGCCAAAGCTTAATTTTCTTAAGTTACATTTGAACACATCATGATGAGGTTTAATTTACCTTTGCCTAAAAGTCATTTTACTGAGCCGACCCTAAACACATCCCAATGTAACCTTATGTCACCTTGTTTAGTTAGCTAGCCAGCTTTTATCCTGCCGATTTCAAATCTGATTTCAACTTTGTCCTCTGACAGCTCAGAGCTCAAACTTTACAGATTTTCGGGTTTTATAAAGTGTGGAAGCAGGTTGTTATGGAAACAGGTTTCGATTCCCATGCCTACTGCTGTGTGTGTTCCTGTGTTACATAAACGTTTGATGGATCTGGAGTAGAAATTTTAAACACCAAACTCCCTCAATAACTGACAACATAATAAATAAAGGCAGAGGTAGATTAGCTACTCCTGTGTTCAGAGAGGTTAAATGACTGTTTATGTTCATGGAGTCTGGTGACTTCAAAGAGAGAGATGTAACAGCTGACTACCTGCAGCCTTCACAGCCTAACTCACTGCTGCAGGTTTAAGAAATCTACTGGAGACCTTTTTATACCTATGATTTATTTAGACCCCTTTACTTTTAAATTAGGACCAGGGTTTATTATACTGGTATTACCCTGTAAGTGCCAAGAAAACATAATAATTTACTTTGGAAAAGGGTCAGAGTAAATAAAAATAATTCATGATTTGTAGTAAAATGTGCAAAAAACACCAGAATGGTCCTTTATAATCACATAACGCTTATCTGTGTAACATATGTTAAGAGCGAAGAGCTGTAAAAGAATGAATGCTTTAAAGGTTTTGAAAATGTGTTTGAGTGAAGCCGAGGGTCTGTAGGTGGCGCTGTGGGGCAGGTACAGTGGTTCAGCACTGAGCTGTGGGTTCAGTAGTAGTCTAAATACGACTCCTTCATTCAGTCTCCAGACAACATTACATTATTCATCTGCACAGACTTCAGTCTGACGAGCGGCTCTGTTACAGAATTACACACAAAGGTAGAACACCACTGAAACACGTGGTAGGTCAAATAAATGATCTGGTTTTTTTTTAGTTCCTGTGAGGAATGAAACCAAATTAAAAAGTCTCAGAAATGCGTGAGACAAGCCGAGATCCAAACTCTAACATGTTTGGTGTCTTCACATTATTGACTTTTACATATCCTTTACATTTTAGGGCTATCCAGTTAGGGGACATATTATTTAGAAGATTCCCTGCAAGTTGAACAACCAGAATACCGTGCAGGATTAAAGCACAAACTTCAGTTTTGTTCTACCAGGTGTGGATTTCTGCAGCAGCCACTTCATCGTTAAATTGCTAGATTTTTGAATGGAGTCTGGTGTGAAGAGGATGAAACAGGTTGTACTTCATTCCAGCAGGGAGGATTGAAAAGCTCAATCTGCTGAACTGAAGTGTCTGAGTGATCAGCTGCTGTCAGTGAGGTCACCGTTTCTGCATAGCCATGACTATACGTGTCGGCTGACTTAGTTATGTGTGTTTGCGACATATTCTGCGGTGACGAAGTGAGAATGTAAAAACACTCCCATCACATCAGGGCAGAAAACAGCTACTGTCAGTGTCTGCGAAAACAACTTTTACCATCAAACTCTTACGATCAGTAGATTTTCAGAGACTGAGGGAGGAGCCTGACTGACCTTCAGCATCGGCTAGCCGTGAGGCTAACGCTAACACCCCCCCCCCCACCTGGCTACAGATCAGAACAGCTGATCATCAGAACACAGACAAACTGATCAATTTCATCAGGAAGTCCTCAGTGCCTCATCCTCCAGGTGCAGAAAGGTGTTTTCAGGTTTTTCTCAGGAGTTTGTGACTAGCGGTGGCTGGCGAGCAGCTCGTCGAGGTCGGCCATCCACTCCTGCGTGCTCTGACTTTTTAGCAGCGAGTCGACGAGCTCGCTCTCGCCTGCAAAGCTCCCCGATGCCACGTTGTAACCAAATGACACCTGCTGCTGTTGCTGCTGACTGGCAGTCCTGCCCACCTGGTAACCTTGGTTACACTGTAGTCCCTGGCGACCGTTGCCCTGCGGCTGTCCGAACGCAGCCAGGTCGGGCAGTACTGCCTGGCTCTGATTGGCCTGCTGTTGCTGAGTCTGTTGCTGATTGGCCATAGGCTGGCCGAGGCGCTGAGGGTTGGGCGGCGCTCTCTGCTGGGCGGCGGCCATGTTTGTTTGCATCATCTGCTGCCCAGGGTTCAGGCCTCCCATTGGACGCCCGCCGGGGTTTGCTCCAAAGGTGGCGGCGTTCGGCGGCATCTTGGCAATGCGCTGTTGCTGCATGTGGAAGGCGTTAGGGGGGTTGTTGAAGGCGTTGGGGGGCAGGCCGGCACTGCTGGATGGCGACTGGTTGGTCAGCTGCTGCTGCCAGGCGGCGCTCTGGGGGCCCTGCATGCCTCCCGTCATGGAGGGGGGCAGGTTAGCCCCCATACTGTTCTGCATGGAGACGGGCATTCGGGTCGCCGCCGCCAACTGCTGCTGTTTCAACATGGCAGCGTTGGGCTGTGCCTTCAGGTGCTGTTGCTGAGCCAGCAGGTTCTGCCTGTAGGAGGCACTTATGGGTCCTATAGTCTGACGCTGAAGGCCGGCCTGCTGTGGGGGGTGCGACGGGAGAGATGGGTGGGAGGGGTGGTTGGGATGGTTAGGGTGAAGGTTCATGCTGTTGTAGAGCGCCTGCTGCACGTCCACGCCGGCCCCGCCACCTCCGCCCCCACACGACGACAGACTGATGTCAGCCTGATTAGCTGCAGGGGGCGGAGCTACACCACCAGCAGGCCCACCACCCTGGCCCATGTTCATACCCATCATGCCTTGGTTTTGAGGGAACATACGCTGAGATCCGGGGGCGGGGCCTCCCATCGAGCCAACACTGCCCATTGGCTGAGAGGAAGCTGAAAAAGGAAAGGAAAAAGAGGATCTTAATGTTTAATCTGTTAAATGTATAAGTTTATGTAAAATATTCCTTTAGAGTTCTCTGTTATCCGACAGCCTGAATCCAGCTGCAGCCAGCTCAGCCTCGAGTTAAAAACAAACAGCAGCTGTTTAGTTCTGATGAAATGTTCAGTCATTTATTTACCTATCAAATCAGCGGTGAGCGTAGTTTACACACTCAGTGACTCAGAGAGGAACAACTGTCCTCTACAACCTGGCTCAGAAACTTTATATGAGACTCAGTCTGCACTCAGATATTTATTTTATCAAACAGCAGCACTTGTTGCTTTCTATGACCAGTTTCTAAAGAAATTCACACAGCTATAGCTTAGTTAGCAAGGAATTCAGTTGAAATGAATGTTTTTCTTCCATCCAAAATTTAGTGTCACACTTAAGAAAAGGAACAATAAATGAAAAAGCTGATCTTTAACAGCTCAAAAATAAATTGTTCATTTATTTTCCAGAGGCAGTCATTATGAATGTGATAGTTGAACAGTTGAATTACATTCTCTCTTTACTTGGTAACTTTTAAAAAAACGTTTATTTAATCAACTTAGAATAAATGTATAAAGGTTGTTAGCATTGTAAATGTTCAATCCTGCAATCAAAAGAAGGCAGCTGACAGCCACATGAAAGTCATTTTTGATATAAATCCTAAAGATGTGGAGATTTGGTTTTCTCAAAGTTTTCCCACACATATCAGATGGTTTGAATATGCAGTCTCTTCCTCCTGAAACATAAAGCCTCACAGTCTATTCCTCTTCTGCTCTCAAACCTTCTGACACGCTGTGGAGTATGTTTAAACTATGTTCAGGTCAGTAGAAGTTCAAATGTTTCTTTATAGGCTTTTAAAGGTTGCTTAAGAATCTAAAAGTTTCAATCAAGACACTGAACTGTTCAACTATTCAATCTTCTGACACAAATCTGGACTGCTTCTTTCTGAAGATTCAGTCAAAAATCTGGCCTTTTCAAATGAAACATCTTAGCTCCATTATAAAATGATGCACCATGAATGTTTGTTTGTAAAATTCTTCTTTAAAAACGGAGGTATTTGATCTGTGAGGAAACTGTTGGGGATATTTCATGTAGAATTTGGCCAACGTTGGAAACACTGTCGTCTTACCTGTAAACTGGTTGACTGGCTGCTGTGGGAAAGGGTTCTGATTGGCCGGTTGTCCCGGCTGGTCCTGGTACTGTGGTGGGGGTCGGGTAAGGTGTCTCTGCAGCTGCTGGTCCTGCTGACGCTGCTTCTCCTGCACGGACGATACACAGGAAAGTGTTTCACAAATAATTCAATACAAAATAAACTTCATTTTAGGCTATTTTAACATTGCCACACATCATTCATTATTAATCAGATATTTTGATCTTAAAAGTGAAACATTTCCTTTTGATAATTAAGTGTTAAAAGTAGTTATTTTTGTCCTGATAGTGCTACAACATGATTAAAAAGTGATGCAGGACCAGCATACAGCTAAGTTAAAAAAAAAATGAAATAAATGTATGCCATTCTAGAGATAGAACAGTGGCTAGAGTCAGAAACCGGTGAGCAAGAGAAGTGGGGAACGACATGCATGAAGGAAGCCGCAGGTCAAACCTCTCTCAAGACTCAAGCCCTGCACATGGGGCAGCGCACCAACCGCTAGTCTTCTGGCGCCCCATAAGCTTTTATCTAAGTGTTAATTAAACCTAAATGAATGACTCAGTGTGGGGAGGGGGGAATATTGCAGAAGAATTGATACAACCCTGCAGACCAAACAGTGTGTTTGAAGTTCTTCTAAAGTTTTACAATGAAAATGTTTTTTTATAGAGGTTAAATTTCCAACCAGCATAAAGTTACATTTGATATTCAGCAGCTGGAAGTCTTTTTTACAACCTTGACTTAAAGTTTGAAACTGAAAAAGGGATGATGCTTTCAGCTACCTTATCCTAATCATGCACACTTGTATAAACAAACAGCTCCCTCTGCTGTTCATAATAAGAAATGTAAGAAGCCTACTCAGGTTTGAACTTTAAACATAACCTCCTACTGTTTTCAATCTAATGAGAACCAACCAGCTACAACTGCAACCCCTGATTTATGTTAATAACCATCTAGTGATTTGAGGTGTTACAGGTGTTACCTGTTCAGCCATGAGCTGCTGCCTCTGCATGTACTGCTGCTTCTGCTGCTCCATGATCTGCTGCTTCTGCTGCTCCATGATCTGCTGCTGATGTTGCTGCTGTTGTTGTTGTTTCAGTGCTGCTGCCACCGCCGCCTGGCTGCTCATGTATGCTGCGTTACCATGGTTACCTGTCATGGCATTCGGCCCCTGCTGGGCTGTCATGGGGTTGTTCCCGGGGGCAGAGGCCATGGTGTTGGCCGGACCCGGGCCGTGTGGAGGAGCCGGGTATGCGTTCTGGTCCTGAGAGTCAAAGTCACACATCGAAAGTTAGTTAGTGATTCCCCAGTTATTTCCTAAACGTTACGTTCCCAAGAACTGACGCTACAAACAATCAGAAGTTTGTGAAAAAAGATCAAATGATATTCATCCAGACACGAGGGATTCCAAAAACATCAATAACTTTCAAATATCTCAACACAGAACCTATCAAACTCCTGCAACTACGGCACATTTCTTCAACCTTATTCCAGAATATTCCAGATTTTCAACGACAACAGACATTTACATTTTCTTATTCATTATTGAATCTTACTTAAATGCTCATATTTCAACTGTTATTGCACTAAACTTCAGTCCTTGCAACCTTTGAACTTGTTTAAATGTTTTAAATTAAATAAAAACAAAAAAATCAAAGTGGAAAAATATATTTAAAAAATTCACGTAAATATTGAAGATAACAAATAAATTCAAGCCGTTTTTTTAAATTGTCTCATTTCATGGATTTTCGAAAACATTTTTTTACTTTTATACATTTTATGAATATGTAGTTTGTTGTGTAAACTTTTCTACTAGGTTTATTAATTCCCATCCTCATTCATATTATGATTTCATTATTTATTAGTCTATAAATTGGTATGAATTAAGTACTACAAGTCAGCTTGATTTATGTTAAATCGTAGCTTATTAGCCAGCTTTGTTTTGTATTAAAGTGGACTTTTGCAAAAAAAAAAAGTCCTCTGAGATGTTGTACAGCACATGTAGAAATAAGCATGAAATTGAAATGCCTCTGTAAAGTAAAAATACAACAAAATCTGCGTAAAGTCAATGCACTTTCCACAGTGTCTGACGGTAAAGTACGGAAGCCTAACAGAAGAAAAAACAAAGTTTCATAGTTTGTGTTGAGTGGTGATAAAGTGTGAAGCTGAGCAGGGGCCGAGCGTCCACTCAGAGGAAAAATACAAGCAGAGCAGGAGCAGCTATATTTAAATACAGAGAGAGAGGGAATATGAAAGGCTGCTTTGTCACTGCCTCGCTTCGCCCCCCTGTGTGAGCCTTAGCAACCAGCTGCTTCTCACACACACACACACACACACACACACAAACACACACAGTCAGTGGATGTAGCAGTGTGGGGCCTTCGGCCGGTCTGAGCAGCTGAACAAAAGCTCCCCCCGCTGCAGCCCGACTTCACCTCCACTCGTCTCCCCACACACACAAATACACTCCTCTCCACACACACTCCAACAGGCTGCTCTGTACTGGTCTTCTTCTGCACCTGTTGGACCAAAACCAGTTCAGCTCTGGCTTCAGGCCAATCTGACTTGCACTGTGTGAACCCATGCTGCACTGGCACACCTTCCTCATGATTATAATAACTCTTCTACACCCATATCAGGTCTCAGTGGACTGATTTGACATTTACTCATTGCGTTCCTTTACATTTCCTCGAGCTCCCTTTGACGTTACCAAAAAATAATAATCATTATTTCTAATTTTTGATTTTTATTTATTATTGTTGTTGTTTCCAAATGTTTAACATCCTCCAACTGTAATGTGCGACTTCACTACATTATGAGGCTACTATATGTTTTTAATAGTCATTCTTTGTAAATGTGCGTCACATCCTGCATCAACAGCGCTTTGCAGTTTGTTGGAAAAAAAAAAAAAAAAAAAACATAAATCAATTTTTAGAGACATTTCTAGAACAGGTACACTGAATTTTGAGAAATGATCCGGCCGGGGAAGAGAAAGAAAGAAAGTGAATCATGGCTTGTTGAGGAGGATTAATAATATATTATAAATGTTTTATTTAACATCCTGGACTTTCATTATTTTGGACACTTAAGTTCTATTTTTCTTACTTCGTCACAGTAACATTTCTTTTTCAATCAAGCCTACAAAGCTGAGATAACATCCATAATGTTTCTTATTGTGGGGACAGCCCTATATCTGGTACAAGCCCAGCCTGTAGGGGGCACTAGCAGGACTTTACACTGATTGCTGGATGAAGAATTGGTTGAATCTTAAATGTGAAATATGTTGGTAACGGCATGGTCAATGCTGAAGTTAAAGATACACTCCAACAAAGATTTCCTTGCACTATGAGACACCAGCATTAAACGTCCTTACAGACTCGTGGAGTTTCCCCCCACACGCCCAATCTATGTCCGCTGAATGTGGATTATGAAACTGATGGAAACTAAAAAGCTCTTCTTTGTTTGTCTACAGAGAGTTTTGTAACGTTGCTGTGTCCAAACCGAGTCAGGCAGCAGGAGACAGTTCAGCTGTAACAGACCCTCATTGTTCAGACTGTTCAGCCTCCATCAGTCCAACACAGCTGTGTTATAGTGTGGAGCTCAGTCTGGGTTAATTCATTAAGATATATTTTAAGGACAAATACATGTCAAATTTTATATTTATATTTAACTGACAAAAAAACAAAAAAGAAGGTCTACGCAATGAGAATGAAATCCGTTTTTAAGACTTAGGAGAAACTAGGGACCATCTCTCCTTTATTCAGATCTGGGGAATGAAGCCCTTTGTGTGTGTGTGTGTGTGTGTGTGTGTGTGTGTGTGTGTGTGTGTGTGTGTGTGTGTGTGTGTGTGTGTGTGTGTGTGTGTGTGTGTGTGTGTGTGTGTGTGTGTGTGTGTGTGTGTGTGTGGTACAGTCCAGGAATGTGCTGCCGGCCTGGTTATGAAAGCAGAGCAGGAACACTCTGATCAGTTTGTACAGTTGTTGTTTTTGCAGCGCTGTGATGCTAGCAAGGATGCTACTGAGGCAGTTAAATTGTTCAATACTTTCCTATACCAGGTGTTTTTTTGGATGATACATTTTCTGTTGTTTATACAAGGATGTTGTCGAAAAGTGTCGGACAGCGCCACAGATACTTAAAGGGATAATGGTGTGTCTTTTAATGACAGCAGTCAATATAACAACTGAACAATTATTTCAACTTGTAACAGTCTGGCCAGCTTAGATTTTGTTCCTGCAACTCCCGTTTCTGAGTGCACCTGAATGCATCTCTCATTGTCTGAGCACCCCTGAATGCAGCATGCTAACAGCGCATCTCCTGAGTAACAGCAGAGAGAGAGAGACATGCCCAGAGAAGTCAACTAAGCCGACTACTTTATTTTCTGATGCTTCTTACGGACTTTTTATCATTGCGTGTGCATCCAATGAAAGCTTTTGTATTTTTCCTAATATCACTTGTTACAACAACAAATTCGATTGTTAAAGAACATGTATCAAAAAGTACTGATGTTCTGAACATTTTAAAACCTTGTGTGTGTGTGTTTGTGTATGTTTCTTACCTGTGTGTGTGGGATGTGCTGCCGGAAGTTCATACTGTTCTTCTGTTTGATCTGCTGCTGCTGTCTGAGCAGTGTGAGCAGCACCGCCTTGTTCTGGCTCTGGGTGTTGGGGAGCCGCGGCGGTCCGGGCCCTGCCTCAAAGTGCGACAGAGGTTTGGTGTTCTTATAGTCCAGCATGTTGGCCGATGTCTGAGCGCCTGGTGCAGTCGGGTGGCTAAGAGGCGGCCCTGCAGTTGGGTGACCCAGCATGTTGGGGTGTCCAGTGGGCACCTGCAAGTAGCTGCTGGCCCCTGCCTTGGGAGAGGCTTTATTGGGCTGAGCAGGCATCAAATGCTGCTTCTGGGTGTTAGGGTTGAAGTCCTGGGGGTAAAGGGAGGGGCTTGTGGGCTTGTCCATACCAAATACGGCCCCTATTGGGCTTTGAGAGGTATTGGCCATCTGAGGCCAGGCTGGGGGGTGGGCGTGGGGCCCCTGGTTGTGGAACTTGGCTCCTGGCTGTGGCTGTTTGTGTTGCATCTGGCCGTGGAGGTGCTGCGCTCTCTGCTGCTGGGCAGCCAGCTGCTGCAGCTGCTGGGCGGGTGACAGGTCTTTGGGAACAGGGGGGCCTGGGGGGAGTAGATGGTTGGGGGGAGGCTGGAGCTGTCTAGGTGGAGGAGCTGGCTGGGATGGGGGCAGAGCTGGGGAGGAGGCAGAGGAGGAGGCGACTGGGGAGCTGGTGGGGTGAGGAGGAGGCCCAGAAGAGGTGGACCTCATGTGAGGGGAGCCGGTGCGAGAGTCCTGCTCGAAGGCCACAGAGGCAGGGGAGAACTCGGTCTTCACGTTGACCAGATCAGGAGGAAGCAAACCCTGAGAGGATTGTCCTCCCCCATTGCCTACTGGTCCTCCTGCTCCTCCTCCCACCGCCCCAGCACTGCCCGGAGTGGGAGCCAGCTCCAGGGGGTCTTTGCGGTCCTCAAAGCCGTCGTTGAGGATGTCCTGGATGTCTTCATAGGCCACAGAACAGTTCAGCTCTTCCATTAGCTCTGTCCACTCCTGCTCGTTCAGGTTCAGGTCGGGGAACAGGCTGTTGTTTCCTCCTCCTGATGGAGGCATGATGGGTAGGATGTCGTCAGGCTCCTGCTTCATCTCCTTACGATGGAAGTCTGATCCTGCTTCCCTGCCGCTCTCTGTTTTGTCCCCAGTAGGTCCGTGGTTCCCGTTAGAGATCAGCGCATCACTTATTCCCAGTTTGGAGTCAAGCGGGGAGCCGTTAGTGTTGCCGTTGTCCAGACAGGCCTTCTTGTGTGGAGGGAAAGCGTCGCTGAAACCGTTGACCTGATCTCTGCTCAGAGGAGAACCAGCGTTCTCCAACTTCCTCTTCACCGTCTCCTGCAGCTGGAAGAACACACAGAACCATCCAGAATCAGTATAAGCATTGCAATTCTGCTAAAAATCTTTAACCCTTCAGAAGTTTCAGTGAGATACAACTGGAATGCCTACAGTGTCAAAAATCTACCAACCACTCTTTTTTACCAGCCACTTTATTTTAACTGACAGCATATTGTAAAGATGAATTATATTATAATCTTAATCTTATTTTAAGACAATGTTTGTTCAGTTCTCATTACGTTCTAGCTTCAAGCTGAATCTGTGTGGTTTGAAGTTTTGTGTCTCTCCTGCATTTGTGTTTCAAATTTCTGACTTGTGTTAAGCTGCTACTGAAGACGACCAATTTCCTGTATAAAGCCCTTCAACAACATGTAAACTGGGAACTTGTCCGAAATAGAATGTGTTTATCATTGAAAAAACTGAGCTTGAGCGAAACTGTAGGGAGTAGCAGTATTTACAACAGCTCCTTTGACCATGATTCACCACCACAGCTTCTTTGAATTACCTTGGACTTAAAACAAGCGAGACATCAATTTAAACACACCTTCAGCAGGTAGACCCCCCGCTGTAATGGAGATGCAAATCAGTGCTGTGTTAAACACAAGTGACACAGAGGCAAGCCACTTCATCACATAGCCTATCACTGTAAACACTGACAACTTCTATGACAGGAGGAGGCGGAGCCCTGTGGTCAGTGAGTGTGTGGGGCCGCCTGGCTCGGCTCATAAACTCACAAGCAGAACAAGCGTAAGACCTGGGTTCAATCTACGTTGTTTTCTGTCAAAAAATCACTCTGATACAGTTTACCCGACTCTACAAAAAAAATGACTGCATTTGGCGAGTGACAGGTGCTTATTTCTAACACGGTCATGTTACCAACGGATAAAACGCTATTTTAATTTGCTTTTAAAAAATTCTAAACACTTAACCTGGATATAAGCCAAGGAAATGACAAAGTGCAGATTATGAGGAAGCTACAGGTGAAATGCATTGTTCTCTTACAATAAAATATAGTACATTTACTTTCAGTGTGCCAGAGCTTTGATTTATTTTTCTGGATATAACATATTTAAATTGAAATAAATACAGTTTCCAATTGACATATTGTACTGATCAGAGTTTTTCTGCATAATTTCCAACTTCTTCTAGAAACTTCATATTTTTTTGACTGAATCTTTCAAGTTACAGATGCGTGCCATTCATTGTCACTATTCTAATGAAAAACTTTAGTGGTGAGACTATGACCCATGACTTGTCTTATATTGACCAGCTGAGACTCAAACATTTTCAGTCAACTTTGATGAAAAAAAATCTTCACAATTGAGAAGCTTGAACTGCAGTATTTAGACACAAGAATAACCAATGATTCATTGATTTTTAAAGTAGCTGCAGATAAAACAAACATTTGAGTAATAATTCCATTTGTAGTGAACAATGCCTAAGTTTAGATATATGGATCATGAAATTAGTTTATTCAGGAGTGCTGAGCAACAAACCAGCTGTTTTATTATGAGAGTTTCTATTTCAGTATCTACACGAGCAAATGTCTGTCTGTAGGGGGCGCTGCGGCAGCTGCAACAGAGTGTTACAAGAGCTGAAGGCAGCAGTGGTCGGAGTAAAAAGCTGCCGTTAATAGAATCAGCTGCAGGCAGGCTTACATAATGTAGATAACAAAGAGCTTCCTCAGAGCAGTCAGCAGATCACATCTGTCCGCTCTGCAGGCAGCACGAACCGCCGGATCTGAGGGAACATTCAGAACTTCCTCCACATCAGCTGATCATCACACGCTTTAATTCACTGAGAGGTTATCAAACAACACCTGAACCCATGAAGGACACTGACAGGTGAATCCAGGTGAAGCCCTCTCCGTGTATAGTCATGATGTTAAACAGAGGAGACAAACAGATGGAAACAACCAGTTTGTTAAATGTCTAACTCTTCTTTTGACCTCCAGCATTTGATTTCAACGTCTTGACCCTAAAAAACCTGTTTACTTTAAAACATAAATAAAGTAAAGTAGTAACAGACTGTACACATTCAGACTGGTGGTGTCTGTAGATCAGTGTATTACTGCTATCTTTAAAAGCAACTGTTTGTAGGAAATTAAAATAAAAAGATTTTTGGACATTTTAGAGTTAGAGGATCAACTGATTTACTTTAACTTATCTGATGGAGAACAGATACTAACTCAGTCTGATCAAAATCGACTGAATTGAAGAAGCTGCTTGTTTTGGAAAATAAAACCACACAACTGAAACTATTTACACGGTAGGTCAATTCTGCCACAATGGGGCACTTAATCATGAGAGCGATTATCTCCACTATCTCACCCTAGAGATGGGACCGATCTGATCTTATATCGGCATCGGGTCCGATATTGACGTATCGAATATTGGAGTGAGAGTGCCGATCCACATCACTGATCAAGACAGATGGCTGAGCACTTTAAACATTCTCAGTTTGTACAGTCTCACTTTGAAAACATTCAGACTGAAATGTAAGAAGTGTGATTTGGAATCGGATCGGAACTGAAAATAAGTCAATCTCTACTCCCCCGATGAAAGCAAACTCCAACTTGGCTGCAGTCAAGATGAACGACGAAACAGACCCGAGGAGACCAGATTTGTTTACCAACAATGCATCCAAGAATAATTTACTTAATCAAAGCAGCACATACAGCAACAGAACTGTAGCTTTAAGTAGCAGTTCCCGCTTTCTTATTTAGCGGCATTTGACGTAACATCCAACGTTTCCTTGGCAAAAATATTAATGTTGTGTCTGTCATGGCGGCTGCCGCGACAAGACACATCCCATAACAAAATTTGTATATATTATTCAACAAAATAACATATATAACAGAAGTAGGTTTAGTCCATTGTTAATTAATTTGGGTATTTTAGTGAAGAATTCTGACTACAAACTGTATCTTTAAAGACAAACATGTCAAAGTTCATGTTTAAAAGAGAATTTCTCCTCAAGCAGCCAACCTCAGCATTTAAAGTTTATGAATCTATCTGTCAGTAAACAACATCAGTGAAAGGGATGAAAAGCTAACAGAGCATCCTGAGTGTTCATGTTTATATTTAACAGACGCATCAGAGGTGAAGAAAGAGAGATAAGAAGATAAAAAATGCATCGCCCCTCTGAGCAGAGTGGCGTCACAAAGAGGAAAATGTGACGTCTTCACCAAAATATGCTGAGAATTTCCTGATTAGCCCGGCTGGTGCCAAAATGGCAGAGTCAAAACATTTGGACAAAGTAGTTGGCCAGAAGTTGTGCAACCAGCAGAAAACAAGTTAGATTTTTAAATGCATTAGGCTTCAACTGAAAGCAGACACCGGCCCTGAACAAGACCAGAGAGGGCCAGCTGGTGCTTTTGATCTATTTCACATCATTCTTTGACAACTCACATTCAGTGGGTTATGAACATATTTATTCCCTTGTAATTCTCGTTTTTGTCGGCACTGACTGCAGCAGTTTGAATCAAGCAGAGCTGCGAAATGTTAGCTTTTTGGTAGTAGTTAACTTCTACAACTTTTTGAGTGTAGAGAGAGAGAGAGAGAGAGAGAGAGATCGTTTCTGCCCGGAGGAAAAGGAAATTCTGGTGACTCATTCAACTTTTTAAACCTGAAATACTGGTCTGACCCCGCCCCCACCCATGTTACCATGGCTCCAGCACCTGTTAAGAAGGGGGGCAGAGGGTCGACAGAGCAGGGGCAGAAACTGCTTTGGCTGCAAAGCTACTGCACAGACCAGAGGAATTATGGGTATTAAAGTCTTTCAGAATACTACTTATACTGCTTTATGGAAGAAATTAAAAGATGGATGTCAAAAGAAAATCTACAGTTCAATGACCCCAAATCAGAAGATCCTATTGTTAGTTCCCCTGGCACTAATTCATTAATAATCTCGCCTGCAGTCTGGATGCCCTGCCCAATGAAGTTTGCAAAGAAGCCTGCAACTTCGAGGTAAATTTCGACTGAGCGATCTTTTGATACCCAGGTGACCAAAGTGATGCATTCATGCTTTGCTCAACCGAGACAACTAAACTAAATCAAGTAATTCATTTCTCCTGGTGACTTAGAATTATTCGTCAATCCTTGTTCCAGACTGGACTACCGTAATGCTCTTTATTGAGTCATCAGCAAGGGAAAAAGACTGCAGATAATTCTAAATGCTGCTGCTAGGTCTTTGATGCCTAGCAGGAGAAGTGACTACTTCACACCTGTCCTTGCATCGCATCACTGGCTACCTGTGAGTTTTAGAATAGACTTAAAGATCTTGTTTATAAAGCTTTAAAATGGATAGGCCCCACCCCTTTATTTGTGTCCTGTTCACTCTCTATGAGCTGGACTGCTGCCTGAGAGCTTCCTCCTGCTAACGGTTCCTAAAACTCAACTGGTCACAAAAGGTGACCGAGCCTCCACAGTTTGGGCCAAGCAGCGGCAGAACTCTGCGTCAGAGTCGCTTCTTAAAACTCACTTTTACCTTTCAACTGAATTGTGTTTTGATCATTTTTTGCATGTTTGAATTAAACAGCACTTTGTTTTTATTTTTAAGTGATACATACATCAAGTTATTATTATTATAACATTGGTAGTAATAAAACTTTTTTTTTTGCTATAACCGATAAAAAAGTACTTAAATGCAGCCATAGTATTCATATCTTTAAGTTTATTTTGTGTACTTGAGCTATTGGCTAAATCAAAGAACTTCTTAGTGTGATTTACTCTGATGGAAGTGCATTATGTAAGCAAGCAGAAAAGTTATACAACGCAATAAAAAAAGGAAACAAACATCTTGCACAAAGAATAAATGTGCTGTTATCACATTAACAACTGTGACAAGAATGTCCACTGATTTCTTTGCAACATCGTAGCCTTTATCTTTTCGTTATCAATTTGAATATACATTTATTAATAAATGAATGATTTAGCAGAAGTTTTATATTTCAGGAGAGGACAGTATGTAGGTTTTATTATCCTCAGAAGCTCAGAAGCTTTGTC